TTTTACTTATTGTCATTCACGTCCTTCGCAATTTGATTGGCCCGTTAACTTGTCAACTGTCACGGCAGCCAATAGCTTGCCTTGTTTACAGAAATTAAAAACTGGAAAGTTGGATTGCGAACCTATTATCGATATTCTAGGGTTTTCGAAAGTTATACTGCACAGCTGCGTAGTCCTAGCACCCAGTAGCGCTTTGTTGTCTTTTATTTCGTGTTTGTTGATAGTTTATATGGTTCTTGTTTTCATTTTATTGTTCTTGCATTTGATTATTTAACTCACAATTACGTTGCGAAAAAAAAGTTTTTATCAAAATCACATTTAATATGTAAGTAGATGTACTTGAATTGAACTTTTGTCCTACTTCTCTATAATTTTGATTTCCATGAGATGTTCATACATTATATTAGACCTGTTCGTGATTTATTGCTGAACTTGCTGAAATTGATTGTTGTATCTGTTCATGCCATGATGTCATAGAAAAAAAAAACAAGTTCAGCAGATAGAGCGAGAGCACAAACCAGTAGGCCTATTAAGAAAGTTGGTTGGAGGTCCAACTTCACCGTATTTAACAGATTTTCAATAGGTACCTAAGTCATTTTTCAATATGTTACAACATATGCGTTATCGCAATCACCTGGGAATCCGTCATGGTGATTTAAGCTAAAGGTAGAAAAATCATTTTGGTTTGTGAAATACTTTATTACTAAATTTTGAAGGGTGAGAGGTGGCTGTGAAATTCCTTCAAAAGGGAATGGTTGTTATCCCTTGAACCCTGCTGGGGAGGCTAAAGATACTGAGGTTTGTAATAAAATTTAGTGTTTAAAGTGCCCCATTCAGTCCGAAGGAATAGAACACTGACTAGCTCAGTGGGCGGTGGGGTGAGTAAGGTTGGTGTGAATGGAAGTGGCAGAGTTTTCAATGTATACTAATTTTAATAAAACACAACACAGGTACTCTTCTGGTGTTGCAGTTACGGATTTGGCCCCTTTTTATACTTTACAAGCAGTTGGTTTTTTTTCCACTGATAAGAAATATTGTATAACACAGGACTATCGTCTATACCTCGGTGATCACCTCAGTTCACATAGAACTTTCACTTAATGAAGAGAATGGCCTATTTATTAGAACTTTTGCAGATTGATTGCAACCTTCCAGTAGACTGATGACATAATTCTAGTAGATCTTGCAATATCCAGGTAGTAGTTCCCCAAAATAATCTATAAGACGCTTACCAGAGAGCAGGATCTTAGTTTAATTTGTTATGTTCCCACTTATACTACCATCAAACAGTACAGTCCGGGATGGCTCGAAGCAGTAAGATGCTGTAAATCCTATGGTGAGTACTGCAGGCAAGCAGTCAGCAGCTAGCTAGTTGGACTCCTTGTTTGACAACCAAGGAATCAATCATACAGGGGACGAAACTTGTAACTCCAACTTGATAGCCTTAGACTAGATCATGTAGGTTAACCAAAAAACTCCAAGTAAACCCAGAATTCCAATTACATCAAGAATCCAAGTACCTCAAGAATTCCAGGTACCTCAAGAATTCCAAATACCTCAAGAATTCCAGGTACCTCAAGAAATTCCAACTAACTCAAGAAGCCCTAGAAAGAGAAAACACCTGTAAACCTATTTTCATCTTGGGTGTTGATAGTTATTATACTTGGAGTAGTACTAGAAATATTACATACCTTTGGATGGTGTGTGGGCTTCACGTGGTGATGAAGATGGCCGGCGAACGAAGACACAATAATCCTCTTTCGAGATTTTCTGAACTCCAAGTCCAGAATGAAGTGGAAGAAGTCTCTCTTGATCCCACCAGTAGTGGACAAATAAACTAAATACGATAAGCGATACTCAACGAAATAAATCCTATCTTACGTTCTTCCGTAGGCAGTCACCAAAATCAAGAATCCCAAAAATCAGGTCCAGATTGTCCAGGAAGAATCCCCACTATATTGTCATCTCTCTCTCTCCTAGATTTGGCGTGCAAGAGGAAGGAGTTATGCGCATGACCGATATCACTCATCAAGTCATCAACCCAAATGACAGCATAGAGCCATCGAACAACAGAAATCAGAAATCAGGAGCCGAAATAGCACATTTGCCTAAATGACAACACAGAACACGGAACATCGGAATTCCTATCAGACCATTGAAACTGTTCGATTACCCCATATACGTATTAATAATCAATACGGATAATCTCTATCTGTTTCCATAGCGAAACATGAAGCCGATTTTTGAAGACAAATGACTATCCATAAGGAAAAGTTTTGAAACGATCAGACACATACTGCTTTGATTGAAAGGCTAGTAAACGTCATTGTCCACCGAAACGCATGTCTTTGATGACTACTACAATAGCGCATGGCGCATGCGTATCATGCCGCCAAATCCTTATGGATATTCATTTGTTCCATATTTTTGGCTTCATCCTGGCACCCGTTATGATCCGTATTGTTTATTAATACGTATATGGATTACCCGCGGCCGCAACGCTCATTCGGAACACACCATTCCTTGACCAACCAAACTGCTCAGCGACCTGCTGGCTATGTCCCCTGCCAGTAAATTGTCAAAAGAAGAAGAACTGAATAAACACAGGAATTTTGACAATGTAACCAATAACAAAGGTGAAATACTGACGCAACATTCTTCAAGTGCTCAATTCTATTATTTGAGAATTATAAAGCAACACTGGTGGTTTTACAAGGAAAGGGCAAGGGTTGAGTTATACCGTGAACAAAGCAGCTTGTTGACTTTCAGAAAGAAAATAGATTCTGTCAGATCGATATGTTACTTTTGTCCACCAAAGTAGTCAGGCGTAGGGCTCCACAATCATGCTCAAAGATTCAGCTCGAAGGTTAGTACAAAATCATTCGATTTCTGTAGATTCAGCAGTGCTTTTTGGTTAGGGTGAAATCAACTGGTAACAATTTTCTGAAACTGTTGAAGGTATTCTTCTTATTCCACAATTTAAACTCACAGCAGCTGTTGTTATTCATTTACCAACTGTGCAGTGTTGGTTGCAAACACATTTTGGTCACGTGGTGTTCAATCATTGTTGAAAACCAGGTATTTGTCGATGTTTCAGGCAGGAGAGTCTACGAATGAGTCAATTCTGGTAATTCAAACCAGTTCGTGAGCCTTTTTCCCTCTACCCAGAACGAAATAGTTGTTATGGTCGCACTTGTGGTGATATCAAAGTATACATCTGGTCCTATTGTCACAAACTGTAGGCGGGGGTTGCCTAAGTTGTGTTCTAGATCCATTAGAGAATGCACTTTGAAAGTGGTGGTCACTTCCACATTTCTCTCAATACCAAAAAAAAATCATCCTAAATCTCAATAATTCCTCATTATTTTCATCCATATATCTAAATAAACTCCATTTCCTCACGAAAAATTCAAATTACTTCATCAAACACTCTGTATATCACCTCACGACATTTAAAATTTCGCAATAAAGCTCATCTTAATCAAAACACTAGTTGGTCTATGCTTTTCAATATATCACAATCGACTAAGTAACTAAACCCAAATTGATCCATTTCAAATAGTTTTTATATGGTTACAGATGGTTTTAGCATGCCTATCTGTGTGCACTACCAGGAACGCCTCATTTGAAGATCAAACCGAGGCAGTCCAGTTTTAGCATGCTGGACCGTTCGCAAATCCTGGCCAGATGCCCCAAATAAAAACACATTTTTACATTCAATCCTTAAAATAATGAAAACTGTCTTACTAAAATATTTATCTAACTTTGATATTTATAATTTGATAAAAATAATACGATTTAAGAAACAAAAGAACATGAAATTTGAAAAAGTGAGGTTGGTTATGAAGAACCAACCTCGGGAACGAGCCATTGGCGCCTCCACCATGTCACAAACTGTAGGCGGGGGTTGCCTAAGTTGTGTTCTAGATCCATTAGAGAATGAACTTTGAAAGTGATAATAATAAAGAATATTCCAAAGGGTTTTTAACGAAACATACACACACATTTATTCTTGGCATAAACGAATAACAATAAATAAAACCTTAACTTAAACTATATGTACAAAATTAACTGGTATTTCTGAGAGCCTGAGGAAGGGCATCTTCTGTTCTGCCCGAACTCCGAAGATTCGGGCACTGTGGCAACTTTACAGACTAACAATCGATAGAACTTTGACTGCCCTAACTCATATAACGAAAACAGAGCTTGAGCTCGAAATGTCAGTTGAACTCGCAGCCTTACCGGTAGTCGAACTGTCGAACCCGCTTCCTTACGTCTTTTAAATAGTTGTCTTTATTTTCGGAAACGTGACAGTAAGGAAATCAGGTCGATAGTCCAGGTTCGTTAAAGTCAATGTCACGCCTGTGTTCATGTTCAACTATGGAAAAAAGTTCGTTCACGATTCGAAAATTTTGGAATTAATAAACAAAGACGCGACCGTTCAATGACTTCGAACCTTGTATTAATTTGAATGAATGAATGAAAAATAACCCTATTTGTGACACTATGAATACAGGTTCGGTCCTTCATTGACCCGCCGAGTGTTTATCAGTATATTATAGACACCCCCCTCCTCTCCTTCTAGGAAGTTCCCTATCAGCCATTGAGACGCGCCGTATTGGGGTTAAGGACACAGAAAAAGTTGCGTTACCAAAGTCTCAACATCATAATCAATATTAATTTATTTATTCATTTGATAAAACTGAATTTTGATATTTTCAATTTTTTCTCGTATCCATCAGAATCAAATTCAGTACGCTTTTCCATTTGTCCGAATCAACTTGTTCTCTGTATTTTTCTATCGATAAGTGCCTTCAACCACACTCCACGCACTAAACTTTTCATGTTGTCAGTTTGAAGTATATAACTGGAAAGGAAGATTTTTCATTGTGAAATACTTTTCAGGATTTGAAAACGAATAGAATGAATTGTTTACAATATGTGTAAATATTACAAGGCACTTAACATTAAGCACTATTATTTAAAGAACTATTTTACAGTCAAGTGGAAGTTGATGAAATGATAAGAAAATCTACAAATTTGCTTCTAACGAGAACTTTCAATGGCTGCTTGTCATCTACTTTCCGAAGTCCACGTGTGAATTTGACAGAAATTGTTCAAATTATAGTTGATACAGGATTCTTAGAAGAAGCTCACGTATTTCTTGATCAGTTCATATCGAATATTACTGGGTAAGTTTGAAAAAAAATCAAAATGTCGTACTAAAAACAATGCATCTATTTTAGAGAACAATCCAGGGGAGTCAGTTCTAGTATAGATGGTCAATCAGCTTTATTCACAGTATCGAGAGAGGATGCAGTACGAAAAATTTGTGATAAACTCAAACAGAAATTGGATGAATTCTTAGAACTAGAGGATTACGATTGGCTCTTGGTTGAACCAAAAGGTCATGCATCAAGTTATATTGCTGACATAATAGCATTCCTGCAGACCACATTCCATAGTTTTACCAATATTCCGGTAAGAATAATCATATTCAATTCATTTAAATATTGTTCATAGAATCGAATGTCTCTTGTCTATGAATCAAAATTCAGAACCTTTAATGTTCATTCCTATCGCTTTTGTGTTAAAATCCTAGACACCTCAGAAAATCACAAAGTAATCTCCATGACTTCTAATTTGGAATTTCAAATCAGGGACATGTTTAGGACATGAATACTATGTTCATTTTCAGCCTTTATGTAGAAGTCTCTCGATATAGAAGAGACAACCTACCAATGTGGAAATAGAAAATATGTTAAATGTACATTGTTTTGAAAGAAAGGTCAAGTATCATATTAGTTTCAAGTTATGACATACTTGCATAAATCAATATGGTTTTCATGGGGTGCCAACCCCAACATCCCAGGAAACACGTTAAATCACATGGCAGTTTCGCGAAGTACCAGATTGCGAATTGGGATATGTTTTCATTTTGATTACTCATATTTGTTCTGAACGTGGTTGCTTTGAGGCTTTGCTTTGTTAACAATAAATCTAGTTGAAAAGATCGTCATCGAGAAACATCGCGACGAAGTCCATTCGAGAAAATAACCATATCAAAAGAAATTAATAGAGAAGTCTCAGAGAACCCTCGCATGGATGGACCTAAGATGCAGTGATAATAATTTCAGGGTAATAATAATAATAATAATAATAATAATCGACTTTATTTAGTAGGTATTTCAATATTACATAGTAGGCGAAGTTTAGCTAAAGCTACTCTTACACTTAACCTAATATGTATTATGGAAATCAGAGTAACTGGACAAAAAATTAAGATTGTGTGATGGGACATATTACTAGTAGTGTACAACAAGCTACATAGTTTGAAATGAAAATGTAATTCTTCTTATCACATATTGAATTTTGCCTTTAGTTTCTTTTTGAATGTGGATTTCGGGTATTGCATGAGATCTTTAATAATCGTGTTGTGAAAAAATACAGCTAAGTAGGAAAATGATTTTCTGAACATGGTTGACGAATGATGAGGGATGTGTAGGTTTTCGTTAGTTCGAAGGTTGAAAGAATGGAGCTCTAATCTCTTTGTCAATTTATTGAATAGTGGAACAGGTTTTTTCGATTTCAATACTGAATAAGTGATGTTGCAGTAGTTATATTCCCTGAGAACGGACATGGATACCCAACCAAGGTTGGTCGAGCTTGAGAAATGTGTTCAAATTTACGTATCCCTAAGATGAAGCGAACACATGAATTTTGCACACGTTGTATTTTAAATTGATTAGCCGAATCCAAGAAGGGACCATAGACAGGGTCTCCATAATTGATGGTTGAAAGGATAAGCGATTGGGAAAGAAGCTTTTTTGTACTAGGGGACAAGCTTTGTCTATGTGGATAGAGAACTTTGAGAGTGGCATAGGATTTAATCACAAGTTGTTTTACATGTGCATTGAATTTTAAATCTTCATCGAAAGTGATGCCTAAGTTTTTTACAGAGTCAACCGATTTAAGTATTTGTTCACCTATCTTTAGTTTCATATGATCTTTAACATATTGTCTCTGGTTTATGTTGCCGAAGAACATGACATGGCATTTGCCAGGATTCAACTTCAAATTGTGTTTGTTCGACAGAGTATTTATAACTTCAAGGTCATCATTTATTTGATTTTGGGATACTAAGATATTATTAGATGCGATTCTATGATATAACTGCGTGTCATCCGCAAATGCTTGTACCCGGCAATGTCTAATTTGAGAAAAAATATTTGCAGTGTATAACAAAAATAGAAGAGAACCAAGAATTGAGCCTTGAGTTATTCCTGACAAAACACTTTTGAGAGATGAACTCCTATCATCTACATGTACCTTTTGATATCGGTTGTTCAAATAATAATTCAAAATATTTATGACATATTGGCTGAACATCCGTAATATTTAAGCTTGGAAAGAAGGAGCTTGTGGCTAATGGTATCGAACGCCTTAGAAAAATCTAATAACACTAGAGCGGTGACGTTTTTTTCATCAATATTGGCTACAATGCTATCACTAACATTAAGTAGAGCCGTAATAGTACTGTACCCTTTACGAAACCCTGCCTGATAGTCTAGAAGAATATTTTCGGATATAATAAAGGCTGTTAGTTGAGCGTGAATAGCTCTTTCAAGAATTTTAGAAACGGCTGGTAAAATACTTATGGGACGTAAATCTGTGAGAGTAAGTGGATTTTTCGATTTGGGTAGCGGTTTAACAATGGCTTCTTTCCATATTTTGGGAAAATAAGCCTTTTCCAGGCAGCAATTGATAATATGGGTTAAGTAACAATCAATGAAGGGGCTGCAGTACTTAAGCATACATAGAGTAATACAGTCTGATCCACATGCATTAGATTTCAGGCTATTGAGAATGTCGTTTACCAGAAATGGTGAGAAATTCAAAGTTGAAGTTGATTCCAATATTATTGAAGCGATTATTATTATAGAAATGAAGTAAGTCGCCGTCAGGCTCTTTGTCAACAAAAACATAGCAGAAGTAATCGTTGATTACATCTGGATTCTGGAGGTGACTAGGAATAGCGACTGATGTTTTGTTCAAGACGTGTCGGTTGAGTTCTTTCCAAAGATGTTTGGAATTGTTTGTACTGAGGACTCGAGCATGAAATGCTTTTTTCTCGCGGCGAATTGCGGCTAACGTAAAATTTCTGAGTTCTTTATAACGCTCCCAATCAAATAAGTTAATGGTTCTTTTGTATTTAGTCAACGCATCATCTCGTTCTTTCATCATAACTCTAAGAGGATATGTGAGCCATGGTGCTTTGGGCTTGTTCACTCGTACTGTCCTGATTGGGTCATATTTATCAAATAAAGCGAGCAGAACATTATTGAAAAAATAGATTTTTTCATCAACATCATAAATGTGAAAAATATCGTTGAGTGGTGCGTTATTCAAGTCCTCGAGGAAGCTGTTAAGGTGAAAATTCTTAAAATCCCTAAAGGTAATAAATTTGGGGTCACGCTGTAATTTTTCAATTTTTAATGTACAAAATACAAGATTGTGGTCTGATATATTACTGGCATCCAGAACTCCAGAAGTGCTTAAGAGACTGGAATTAGATAGAAAAATGGGGTCTCTAACAATGAGAACGATGTATTACATACCCTAGTGGGTTCATTGATTATTTGTTCAAAGTCATAGGCATCAAAACATTTGCTGACAGATAATTTCGTCCACAGAGGGTATAATTTGAGAAAGGGACTCGTCAACATCACTTATAAATTGATTAACGTTTCCAGATGGTGGTCTGTATATATTACCTATAGCTATTTTACGATTGTTTACTTTGATTTGAATCCAGATTTGTTCAATATTTTCATCGAAAATGAAGGGAAAATCATATTTAGCACATGAAATATTCTTATTGACATAAAAAGCAACACCTCCACCGCGAGATCTTGTTCTGTCAGACCTGAAGAGATTATAGTCGGCCATAGGTACAGTGTCATCCCTCAAGTCGTTAGTAAGCCATGTTTCAGTTATCGCCACAATGTCATAAGACTGAACGGCATTTTTAAATTCCTGAAAATAACCACAATGTCATTGCCACAAAATGTGTTGAATTTCTAGTTGAAAAGAACGTCATAGAGAACATCGCGAGGAAGTCTATTCAAAAAGGATTGAATGGGGAAGTCTCAGAGAATCCTTGCATGAATGGGCCCAATGTGGTTTTCAAAAAAACATTTATTGTCTCATAAACTTCCACAGTGCTTATACAGATGTATGTTTTATTCGGGATATTTTTCCAAATCTCAATTTGAACATTACAATTATTGAAAGGCGTACTTGATGTCGCGGAGATTTTGCTACAAATAAGAGCGGGAGATATTTTTTGTACATCGCTCCCGGATTTTAGTTGCAAAATTTCTTCCATAGTACTTTACAATTACTGCCCAGTATTTGCTGAGATGGATACACAATTAAGGATGGGAAAATGTGTGCAATGGATACCTTGCAGATTGCAGAGGCAAAAACTTATGCATCTTGACATCCTGCGCAGGAGGAACATCAGGGTCAAGAAGTCAGAACCCGTTCCAAACGTCTGACAGTGTATAGCACAACATGTTTGACTATGTCAATTCATCAGTTGCATCAGTACATAGAACTATATAGCATTCAGATTGAACTTTGTAGAAGTCATTGGAATTCATCATCAGAGCTGTTCAATCTCAACAACCCTCTTGAAACACCTAGGTTTCGATAGTGACTCGGATTTGACAAGATTGTTTTGAACCAAGTCTATAAGAATATACTCCATAAAGCGAACTCAAAACCAAATTTTTGTTAAGCCGATTATGTTTTAACTGAGGATATTATAATCCTATATTAGCTTTATCCTTGTCCTGTAGTATTCTTTGTGAAATTCTATAAGTAGGCCACAAAATGGATCCACCTAAGTCGTTTATAGATTCTCACTGATAGATATTCTGGTTCATAAAACTATGTTGAACCCTTATCCCAACTAATGGTATTTACTTACTTACCCTGTAACTTAGATGAGAAACACACGAAGAGATGCTTCAGTATAAGCAATAACACCAAACACGAACTGCATACTAACACCCTAACACCGAATGAACTGAAACAACGAAATGGATGAGACAAAAGCATGCCGTCGCCAATGAACTGAATGTGTTGCTGAAGAATTTACAGACAAGTCACATTGTGCGCTACATTCATGAGTATGTGAGTACTCTGAGATTTCCAAGTATCGTTGGATATTACTTTCATTGATGAATTTCCTTGAGATGTGAGAGAGATTCACAAATTGAAGCACATTTTCGTTTTTTCATCCCGCACAATGTGAATCAGTTTGTCGTTTCAGATACATCAAATTATGACTCTCAACTACTGAAATTTCAGTTTCTCAAATTATAGTCTTTGTGAAGTTGAGGGGCGTCATAAATATTATATCCATATTGGTCTCAGATTCAACAGAATGTGATGAAATTTGCGAACTATCTGTCACACAAAGAATTCCTTGTAGATATCAGCGATGCAATATTGTGATTCGCTTTTGTGACATCAACTGCCATGAATGCGACATCTCATAGATCTTTGTGTTAACTGGGATATTCCTTTTCAATACTATATTTGCTATTTATATTCTATATTAGTCACTGAATAAATTTTAATGATTAGTTTGAGTCATTAAAAGGATCTCACCTTTGATATTTTCAGTAGATTTTTGTCTTTTTGAAAGTGGTGATAAATCTTTCATTCTAGGAGGACGAGGATGCCTCAATTTTGTTTCATCTTTATTTTCCTCATCACTACTGGAAAATAGGCATTTTGATGGAATGATTTTCGGTTTCGTAGGCAGTTTTCTCATCACCGCTAGAAAAATCACGTCTCTTCAGCTTTCTTTATCTTCTGCAAAGCCTTGTTATATTCTTTTTAAATGAAAACAAATGATTGCAGATGGCCATTGTGGATGTTTACATAATTGTACATAGGTATTCTTTATTTGAATAGAACAAACAAGCATGAAATCCACCAAATTTCATAGTATAGACATAAAAGGAAGATGTCAAGTTTCCAAGGAATCTCAACCTAATAACCTGAAATTATTCTTGTACCTACGATTTAAGGTATTTATAGATAACCTTCCTTGAAAAACAACCTCATTACACCAAACAACTTCCAAGTTCCATTTGGAGATTAACCTTTCTTGATTGACCTGTTGAAAAACTCTTGCTGTTTGAAAGGCGGCCACCACACTTCAAGTCTCACGAGACGTCAACCACTTCTTATGAACGAGTGCAATCCCTTTCCCGTCATTTTCTCGAAATTGTATTTCCACAAACATTGCAACTACTTGAATTGGAAAAATTACCAGCAAACTGCAATATATTATATTTGTCTGAACATCACTTCTCCATAGTATCCTTGTTTTCCATGACCCAATGACCCAAAATCACAAATCCGCCATTACAGCACTTAGCATTAGTACACTTGATGAACTTTTTTTTTTCAATCACTTGGAGCGCACGAAAGGGAATCCCTATAATGTTCAAAGAACATCGTGCGTTCCTAGGGAGGATAGGGACAGGAGGTAGGTATTGGAATATGCGCATGATCACGAACACGAATCACGACACGCTGTGCTACGACGATGGCCGATAGGGTAGCCAGCGAAACGAAGACACGAAGCACGTGTAACAAGAATTTTTGCCTTCTTGATAGTTAACACTCTGTATTGTTATACCTACCTTTTTTTTGCTTTACCATATTATAAGAAACATCTTCATAACTGAATGGCAACGGGGTAATTCCTCATACTGGTGGAAAAAATGGTTGTTTTGGTTGTTGATCGTTTATTTCCTCCATTACTAAAGTAAATTTAGCAGTTCTGTCAGAATGATTGCAAACACTGATGATCTAGAATTCAGACAGTAGACAGTACGTTGTAGGATGTCAATTGTGTAAACTATTTTGGTACGTTTCGAGATGACGTCCTGACGGAGTAACAACGACCCACTGGTGCATCGTTTTCCTTTGCGTTATTCATTTTGCTCTGGTCAGTACAATCAGTTCTCTCGGTGCAGATCGGTGCAGATCAGTGCAATTCTGTCGTCAGAATAGATTTGCGAGGGCTGGCAACAGTCTAATATTCCTCAATGTTTGATCTGGCAACCTAGAGTTGATTGTCAACTTTTCAATTTCAACGTCATTGCGCAGATTCGCATTTGAATTACAACTGTTTTTTCATCTTGATTTTCAACAACTGTTTGAACAGGATGTGAGAACAGATTCCCTGTTTCGCCCTTCTCTTTTCGGTCTTGGAGAGCGAAGCTCCACAATGTCGAGATCAAATTTCTTCTTTTGGTTTCCCAACCATTGGAGAGTGATCGTCTCCATTATTTTACCTTGGGCCATTCCTTCGGAAAGGTAAGATATTTTTGGGTAAATTGGTTAGATATTTTTGGGTAAATTCAAGGGGTTATTTTCTCTACCGGCTTTGGGGTTTTTATTTTGTGGATTTGTTGGCTTTCATCTACCAGGCAGCCATTGCCGTTGGCTGAAGAAAGAGCCGCTTCCCCGTTTATTTTCTAAATCCTCTGGTGAGGAGTATCCCAAGTACTCATTCTGGTGGGCTGTTGAGTACCTGGCACTAGGGACACCCTTTGGAAGCTGCAGGAACCAAAACTGGGACGTGCTACTCCAAATGTTTCACGTGGCGTCCTACCACCACAATATCCCGTTTGGGGTCAGTAATCAGAAGCCCCATGTTAACCCACAATTGGTAGAGAATGAATAACTTCTGAAGCCAGAAGTTTCGTTGAAGATTCCGGTTTAGAATCCTGCCTGAAGATTCCAGGATGTTCCAAGCTAAGGTCAGATCCACCCATTAAGTTGATTTCATATTTTTCACTCAATTCATTTTTCTACATTATAATATATCCTTCAGATTTCTTAGTACATGTAGTGTGTTAATATCAGGTAGATATTCGCAATTTATGAGGTATTATTAGTCTCCAGACACAGTGTGAACTCAGACTTTATTGGCCAATATATGAAGAGGGTAGGTACCCATTTGAATAAGTATAGAGATGTCCATGAAATTATCTGGTATCTAGAATAATTTGCTAGCGTTTTATAGAGATAGCACATAGTTTATGCTTTATGTATCTTGATGAACTATCTGGAAAACTCTTCCAATTCTGAAAAAATATTTTTAGGAATTGAACTTGGCCTCAAAGTTCACCTATTGTGTCCTTATTTGAGTATATCTCTTTCAGCATATTAAATACCTCCTTATACTTTTGAATATCTATAAATTTAGGAATAAATACAATTTCCCAGTTCAAGTAAAACAAACTGGGTGGCGCATACCGGAAAATATTTAAGAGTCAAGTAAACTAGTGAAGTCAACCCACCCTTTTTGCCACCAGACACAAGAGCTACCGTGCCTGTAACCACTTGATTTACACTTTTTCTTCACCATTTATAAATTTTATAAAAAGGGGGTTACACACGGATTGACATGACCAATCATAAGCATCCATATGTCTTGACGTGGCACGCTAATATGAAATATTAAGGCACCTGGCATAACCGTATTGGTATGCATTTAATAAATTCTTGAATCTTTCGTATTTGTGTCCAAGTTATCTGTATCAGGATGTTTTTTATCAAAAGCTTTTATTTAACTTGCTATGTAAGGATGTATACAAGGTGTTTTTGAGATAAGTGCACATATTTTGCACCTTAATACGATACAGTTCAAGGAATATTCCCATGATATCAGATGTTTTCTAATTCTTCTAATGAACGAGAAATTTCATCCCAAAAATTGAACAAAATTCGAGAGAAAAAATCAAATACACCACTTTGAAACCATTTAAATGATTGAACTCCGCGTGATTGTGCCTACCACATGGAAATTTGCAGAGCGCTGACGTAAGATTTGCTACACTGTAGAACTTTGTGTGGAAAAAGGGGTCTAACCTCAAATTTTATTTTGATCCCTAATTTTTTTTTATTAGTGCCATTCGATGATACACGTCGAGCTTTCTCAGTGTTTGAAATTCAGATTCAGATATTCAGATTTCAGATTCAGATTTCAGATTTAGATTTATTCAGATACCATGAGTTACAAAAATTTTTGATATAATGTTGACATTATGATTCCACTTCAGAAACGAGTAATCTACCTAAGGAATCGAGATTCTTGTATCGTACGTTACGTTACTTTTGAGTGGTCTATGGATGAATTTGATATAAGCGAACAGATCGTGAAATTGAATTTGAATTAAGATAAAAAGATGAAAGATAAAAAGATGAAAAGATAAAAAAAACGACAACTTTAGGAATCTTCTATAGCGAACGCGAAGGAATCATGGATATGCTGGGATTTATTGTGAGAAAGAGAAGCTAGAGATTTCAGCAATATTTCTGATTTCTATTTTTTTTTGTTATTTTTTTTTTATGGTGCATTTATTATTGAAAAAATTTCAATATATTTCCATTCTTATACTGGAATATGAATTGTTTGATTGAAATTTTATATTTTGACAAACGGTTAGTGATTTTGGTATGATTT